TGTGTATGTGTGATTGGGGGTGGCTGGGGCAGTTTTCCAAAAGGAAGGAGAACTCTTGTTACTAGGAGATGAAATAAGGTGATAGAAATGTTATAATTATAGTTCAATGTGTGGCATGCTACAACAGCGATAAATATGACATATGTCTTTACCACCCCCAGTCCCTACCAGCAAACTTGGTAGACTTCCATGTGTTTTTGATCAATGAATGACTCAGTTCCCCCAGCTGGTTGTGAACATTCTACTCTCTTCCTTACACTGGCCCAGAATTTTATCAGCTGCTCTTCATTCTGTTTGTTGTATTTGAAGTTTTTATGCCCACATATAAACTCCCTTTTAATCCCAGGTGCAAAAAAGTGCCTGAGACGCAGCCAAGCACGAAGTAAATACCCTGTGGAAATCTTAATCTCTGAACCCTAGCACAGAATGCTAACTACACAGCTGACAGGATTGATAACCAGGTGACCCTTGTGGCCTTTTGGTTTAGGCCTTCAGAATACTAAGCCCCCACCTTAAAGACACGACCTTCCCGCGGGAGGCGGGGCAGGACTCTGAGACCTGGGCACAGCAGGGCCCCAGCCTCTGGCGCTTAGCTGAGCACAAAGGAGACAACTGGAGGCGGCGGCGGGAGCCGATCTTCTCTCGCCAGCCACTCGCTATTGCGGTTACAGACCTGCAGATCCCCTCCCCCTTCCCCACCCAGGCCCGCCCGCCCGCTCGCCTGCCCGCCTTTCTGTCTCCTCTCTCCCTCCGTACTGGACCTCCCGGGTCCATTTCCGGGCTCCTGGTATTTGGTATCGATCAGGGCCGCGGGGCGCGGAGCAGGTGGCTGCAGCGGGACAGCTGGGCCGCCAGTCTGGATCGCCGGGCCGTCATCGCAGTCTTTGTCGTCAACCCCTGTCCGCCGGCCCGCTCGGGCTCCCGGCCGGCGCACTGTGCCCGCCAGACTTTGCGCCGCGTTAGGCGCTGCTGGTGAGCTCCGGGCCGGCTCGGTGCCCGCGCGGCTGGGAAGTGAGCGGCCGGAGGCAGCCAGGACCCTGACCCGACATGGCCGAGGTCAGCATTGACCAGTCCAAGCTGCCAGGAGTCAAGGAAGGTAGGGGCTGGGGCTGGGGCTGGAGGCGCGCGCGGGCCCCTCCCCTCTCGCGGCGGGTCCTCTCAGGCTGGGGGCGTCGGCATTGCGGCCCCCGAGGCCCTCACAGGTCGTCTGCCTTGGCTGGCCTGGCCTGAACATGAAGGAACTTGGATTTAGGCTCTAAAGTGGGATCTTGGGCAAGTCACTCAAGATTCCAAGCCTAGTTTTTCCTTTATAAGGGGATGGGGGAGGATAGCACCACCCTCAGCAAGTGGTTGTGCCAATGTTCTCCAAAATGGCAAAGCCTTAGCGAACCCCGAAAAGCTGGGTATATCTGACTACTTCTTAAAAATCAAAGATTTAAAAATCAAATCCTAGCTGATCTGAAGGCTGGGAATTGGGGAGGGGTTGACATTCAGTTCCCTTGTGGAGCCTTTGTTTTGAAACATGACTCTTTCCCTCCTTCTCTCCTACTTTTCCCAGCCCTAGGTCCTGGCTGCCTGACTTTCCCACCTTCTTCAAGGTTTAAAAGTTTAGGCTGGGCTTTGCCATGAGTGGGCGGACAGGAAGCTATAAGCATTTTTTTTTTCTTTTTTACAAAAAACAGTGAGCGAGGGGAACCAGAGGCCTGGTGACCTTTTTGAATGTCTCATGCTGATGTTCAGGAAAATAAGGATTGAGTAGTACTGACTTGGCTTTAGTTACCCACAGTTAGTCCTTCCACTTCTCTTCCCTTGGAGTACATCAGATACCTTAGGACCTAGCGTTTTTATTGCTATTTTGGGTCTTGGATCATCCTAGTCTTCAGTTAGTTATCTTTGGCGATTCTTTAGTACTAAAGTTCCAGAGTGCTGTTGTGAGATCAGAAATTCCAAGAGCTTGCAAAGACTGCCTTTGTTGTGAATGTTGAGTACTGTGGCCTGAAATGTTTTGAGAATATGGAATTGAAAATAAGAATTTTGCTTTCTTGGAACTGCGTGTTTCGTTTCCAGCTTAGTTTGATTCACATGTTCTTGCTCAGATCAGTTCAGAAATTCCAAGAAAACTAGTGACTGCTTAGCTGCTTTCTTTCCCAGAGTTCCAAATACTAGGAGAGACTAGTGGTTACTTAGTAGTCACTGATTTTATGTATAATTTTTAGTGGGGCTGGGTCTGTCCTATTGTTCCTGAAGGGTGTTCTAACATACCCAGATTTAGAGTCTTATCATTAGTGCCTTTTCACTTTTCTGTTCCTAGCCTGGTTTTGGTGAAGACATTCACATGTAGTTTTCACTTCTCTGTTAAGACTAAGGAGCTTGATTAATAGGAAAGGCATATTATTAAGTTACTCTTGAGAGTCCTAGTCTTAGAGATTATCTGGTTGCCCACTGCTATTGGATATGAGTTTGTGTGTGTGTGTGTGGGAGGTACTTTAAAGAAAAGTGATCCTGAGGTTGTGCTTCTTTAGGGGTGAGTGATGAGTAGATGAGAATTACAGTTCAAACAAAACAAGATAGGTAGAAGGGCATGATTGTACACACCTGTAATTGAGCTACTCAAGAGAGGAGGCAGAAGTATGGCAAGTTCAAGGCCAGTCTTAGCAAGGCCCTGTCTCAAAGAAAAAAGGACTGGGGATATAGCGCTAAGGTAAAATGCCCCTATCTTTAATACCCAGTACCAAAAACAAAACAAAACAATAAAACCACATACAGTCCAAAACAAAAAACCACACACTCCAAAGCCTGACATTTAAAGTATTAAAATATAATGCTGTGATTTTTACTCAGTCCATTATCTATGTCAGTGACCTGGAAAAAATTTAAGACTCACTTTCTGTGTATGCATTTGTATTATTGTTATATCTTCTGATTTCTTACAAAGACATGCATGATTTATGCTGGTGTATTATTTTCCAAGGAGTTTCACAAACACTTTTCATCTAAAAATGCTGGATTTTTCTATTTCCAAACTCTTTTAAGACTTTAGAACATTTCTAATTGGCTTTCATTTGGCATAATGTCGCATTTGGTAATTCAGATAAAGTGATAAGGAAATCCGATAAAGTGATAAGGAAACAGTGTGGCTCTTTCGTGTGTATTTGTTAAATTGGGATTTAATGTTTATTAATTTTTTTGAAGGTCAGAAATTGTTGAGAACTCATTGTTTTTATAAGCATCTGATTTTTCTGGTTTTAAGATCATCAAAAGAAATAATGTGTCATACTAGGAACATCTTAATGGTGGTAAAATTTTTGATCTGGGAAGTATTCAAGTCTAATAAATTGTATCTTTCTCTAATTTACCTTTTAATTATAGCTGTTACTCCCTCACAGTGTCTTTACCATAATTAGAATGGAGCTGGTGCTTATGACGGAGTAAAATATGCACAAACATTGAGACTGTTGTAATACCAAAACTCCAACCAAGTTTGAGGAAGTTTAGTAGTACTTAATATTTGGCTTATATGCTTATATGTTTAATATTCTGGCTCAGATTTTTGAACCTCATTTAAAAAAAATCCATCTCCTTCACTTCTCTATTTTAATTTAAACTTTAAGTTGGTTGATAAACAATTAAATTTGACATCATGGGGCAGATTCCAGTAGAGATTTAGAATACTAATATAATGAATACATGACCCTTCCCACTGCCACTTTTTTAGTAGGGCTTGGGGGACCGTGAGACCTTTGTTGTGAACATCTCAGCAGCGGTCATGGGTAGCAGCCACAAGCATCAGGGTAATGGGATATTGAAGAATCTTCTTTGCCAGATTAAAATCCATTGTTTGCCCCTTTAGTTTTTAAAGAGGTCAAAGATATTCATCATTTGGTCAGAACTTTTTAACCCTTTCCCCAACAGTTTCTCACAAACAGCTCTTGCAATATTTATACCTTGGCATATCTCTTTTAAACTATGACACAAAGAAGTGTTTGAGTTCTTACATAGTAAAAAGAATTAAGTCAACTAAATGTCAACATGTCTTTTTTTTTCCTGGCTAAAATATTTGGAACATCTGCATTCTTTTTGTAGTGGAAAATACTGCTGCTGATGTTTAGGAATGATGTTGTCTTTCTTCTGAAACATTTCAGGTTCTGGGCAAAAAGATTTGAAATAATTCCCAGCCACTTTTTAATAATTAGATCTACAACTAAAATGCAATATACATTTTACAAATGTTAAGAAAACTCCTTAGTTTAGAGTTCAGAGCTAAAAGTATATTTTTCCAAATATAATCGTTTTTAGTCAGTTGACAAACTTAGAATTTTTTTGGTATTTTTAACTTCTTTGCTGAATTTTCCTTCTGAAATAGAATCAAGATGTTCTGCTTTCCTTTTTATTCTTTCTAGAATCTCCTAACTTTACTTAATTTGAATTACCCACTTACATTGTAATTTTGCCATTTCCTCTATCTATCCAAAATTTTATATTATCTCTAAATTTTGGTGATAGCAATAGCTTGTCCATCAAAAGCTTTTCTAAATCCTTCGATGTTTTATCACCTTCTTTGAAATTTCTTGAGTGTTAGTTTTTTACTTTTGGCCACTTGGCAATTTCATTCCCAGTGTCAACCTTCTGTTTTCTTTCCCTTCAGCAGTTTCCCAAAGTCCTCCCCCCAGCCCTTGGTATTGTTCTACAAATGGAAAATTTCGCTGTTCCCAAAGTTGGTAAATTCTGTGTGTGTGAAAGATGTTTGATATCTAAAATCAGTGCACCTGGGAGTGAATTATTCCTTGATATACAGGTAGCCAGCTTTTCTGCAAGACAATTGTTTTTATTTAGAGAAAGAAAATTGAATGTATTTTTAGAAATGCCTGTAAAAGGAAACATACCCACAGGACCCTCTTTCATTTTAAGTCAAGGACACACAGTGCCATAATGGAGTAAATTAAATTAATAGCATAAATCCAGAATTTCAAGGGGAAAGATAGGAAATTATGTCTGGTTCAATAAATTAACCCAGTAGTTCTAGAGATTGAGAACATTACCAGCAATTTAGGCATCTAATGCCTTGGGAATATTTGTGAGATGCCTGGTCTGGCTTGAGGGCAAATTTGGTTTCTTCTTTCTTTGAAATTCCATAGTAGTTTTTGTTGTTTTTAGTGAAACCCTGGCTAGATCTCTTTGATCTGTGTCATACTTAGCTTGCTTTACTGTCCTCATTGGGCTTCTTTTTTTTTTCATTTTTATTTTTATTTTTTTCCTTTTTTATTATTATTGGTTGTTCAAAACATTACAAAGCTCTTGACATATCATATTTCATACATTTGATTCAAGTGGGTTATGAACTCCCATTTTTTACCCCATATACAGACTGCTGGTTTCTTATCTTTCATGTAGCTGGCAAATATTCAGTAAATATTTGAATGCATGATGAAGAATGAGTGAATAAATGAATATATTGTTAGATGTTCCTGTTGGTCTAAAATTCCTATTTTTTTTTAAAGAGAGAGAGAGAAGAGAGAGAGAATTTTTTTAATATTTATTTTTTAGTTATCGGCAGACGCAACATCTTTGTTTGTATGTAGTGCTGAGGATTGAACCCGGGCCGCACACATGCCAGGCAAGCGCGCTACTGCTTGAGCCACATCCCCAGCCCTAGAATTCCTATTCTTAATATATTGATTCCATATTCTTTCTTATAAGCTCTTAAGGAATAGAGAGAATGCCTTTTAATCATGCATATCACCTATCATTAATGCCAGCATAATTTTATTTTTTAATGAATATTTATTTTTAAAGATATGCATTGTAAATAGATTTAATCCAACACAGATATGTAAATGTAGAAAAAAATAAGTAATTCCCTGCTTTTCTGGCTTTGAAATTAATAATTATTATAATGGAATATAATTTTGTTAAAAAACTTCTGTGTTTTTCTTAAATGCAAAGCAATTTCACATAATTTGGCAAACAGAAGGAATCTTAGATATAGATTTTAAAAAAATAATTATCCACTGGGTGGTACATACTATGTGAAAGTAGTGAAATAAATAATAATAATAATAATAATGATATACCTCATAGTATCATGCTGTGTTTTGGAATACATAGAGTTGTTTTTAGAAAAATTCTCTAAATTCGTAAGTGTACCAAAAATGCCTTTTGCCTAAGTGAGGAAAAATCTTCCACTTTATTGCTGTAGGTAGTCAGGCAATGGTTCTTAAATGAATAACTGCATTTTTTCAAATGGTTGTGATGTTATTTGTAAAATCTTTTTCTTTTTTAACTGACAGGTATTAAAAGGATAGTTCTTATACAGGAGAGTGTAGAGTGTGTAGAGTTAATATTTTAAAAAGAGATATTAGCATTAAAAATTACTGATCCAGGCCAACATCCTCATTTTTCAGATGAAAATCTCTGAGCCAAAAAGGGGAAGTGAAGTGTACTAAATCGCTGAGGTTAAGTAGCTAGGGATTGGCACATTGGCTTTAGAATTTAAAAAGTTTAGAACTGTTAATATTTACAGTTTAGTTTCCTGCTTCCCTCCTTGCCTCTTTTCTTCTCTCCTTTCCTGTTTTCCTTTTCTCTTTTACATAGTTCTGCAGATGCGTAAGAATAATTTCTGAAATGCTTTTTTAAATACTGTCATAGGGTTATCATAGCAAAATGAAAATTAATAGTGTCAAGACTATTTCAAAATTTTCTCCAGTTCTTTTAGGGATAATGTTTCAAGTAGATGATAATGAGTTAACATTTTATTTTTTAATTAAATATTTTTAAATTAATATTTTAATTTAAATATTTATATAAATATAAAAACTTATTTTTGATTGAGCAAATTATTGGATGAACAATAGGAAGTCACACTCCTGCCTTAAGTTTTTTTCTACTTGAAAAGTCATATAAACAGTGCATTCTTTGATATTCCTAAAATTTAATTGATTAAGAAAGTCAAGATAAAGCCATAGACCATGGTCTTTCCTCACTTCTT